CGGCGGGAGCGCCGCCGTGCTCCCAAGCGGCGCACTGTAGCAGTGCGCCACCGGGCCAGCCCAGGACTTTTTTTTTTTAACACAACAATAATTGCAAAGAACTTTTAAACTATTACCATTGTCACATGCTGTCTGAAAAAATTTTTAAAGTTTACTTGGTAGTAATTTGTTAGAAAAACAACAATAGTAGTAGGAGCCTAAAAATTCTCTCTTTCCACCCTGTCTTTTAAAATAACTTACATAATTTATATAAAAATAAAGTTTACATATATTTATGTATTCAGACTTAAGACTTTTGAGGAATGTTCACATCAAACATAACTGTCTCCCCAGAAGGTTTCCTTATAGACTCCTTTATGGTCAACCTCTCATTCCCCACTCCAACCCTGCCTTTTCACAAGAAATATACAGAATAATGTCCCTCGTGACAAAGACTCAAACATCCTCAATCAAGTATCAGCAAACAAAATGAGCAGTGTACAAGATGAATAACACGCCATGACCAAGAGGTAACTAGAATTATATATTATGAGCAGGAATTAAGGTTGATTTAACATTCAGAAGTGAATTAATGTTACATGCCATATTAGTAGAATAAAGAGGGAAAAACCACATTAACCTTAAAAGACACAGAAAGAGTACTTGACCAAATCTAACATGACTTCAAGATTAAAAACTCTTGACAAACTAGAAATAGAGGGAGATTCCCTCAACCTGTTCAGGATGATTGTGAAAACCCACAGCTAACTTGATACTCAGCAGTGAAAAATTGAATGCATTCCCCTAAGACAGAGGATGGGGCAAGGAGGTCCCCTCTTGACCTTTCTATTATCTGGAAAGTTCCAGCTAGCGAAATAATAAATAAATAAATAAATAAATGAAACAATAAATTACAGACATCCAGATTAGAAAGGAAGAAAAAGAAGTGTCTTTATTCACATATGGCATGGTCTTACATGTAGAAAATTGCAAGAGATCCACCAAAAATTCTTGAATGACTAAAAATTGAATTTTGCAAGGTCACAGGATACAAGGTAAAGATATAAAATATACAGATTCTAGCAGTGAACAATCTAAATATAAGCAATTTTATTCACAACAGCATCAGAAAGCATGAAACACTCAGCAAAACATCTAACAGGTGCAATACATATACACTGAAAACTATGAAACGTCACTGAAAGAAATTAAAGAAGATCCAAATAAGTGGAAATTAAATAAATGGAGAGATATTAATGTTCACGGATTGGAAAACAATATTGCCAAGGTGGCAATTCTCTCCAAAATGATCCATAAATCCAAAGCAATCCCTAATAAAATTCCAGAAGGCTTTTTGGGGGGCAGAAATTTAAAGCTTATTCTGAAATTTGTTTGGAAATACAAAGAATGTAGAACAGCCAAAATCATTTTGAAAAAAGTAAAAAAAAAAAAAAAAGATGGAGGACTTGACTACCTGACTTCAAGACTTTATACAAAGTTTCAGTAATTAAGACAGTGGTATTAGCACAAGAATAGACATTTGTATCAAGTGAACAGAAATGAAATCTTACATTTAAGGTCAATTTTTTTTTTTTGTCTTTTTTTTTTTCGTGTCCGGCAACGGATCGCAACCCTCAGTGTCGCGCCCGTACCGGACCGGGACCGGCAATGGGATCGCAAACCTCGGTGTTGCGCCCGCACCTCGCTCAGCCAGTGAGCGGGAACCGGTCTGTATGTGGGATCCGAACCCTCGGCGGGAGCGCCACCACGCTCGCAAGCGGCGCACTGTAGCAGTGTGCCACCGGGCCGGCCTAAGGTCAACTTATTTTTGACAAAGCTCCTGAGACAATTCAATAAGAATTCAACAAATGCTGCTGAGACAACTGGGTATCCACATACCAAAACAAACAAAATAACAACAAACTTAGATCCTTACCTCACACCATACAGAAACTAACACCTAAGTGAAAGAACGAAAACTATGAAACTTCTAAAACTTCCAAAGGTACAATCCATAAAATAAAAATGGACAAATCGGACTTCATCAAAATAAAAAACTCTTAAGATTTCAAAAGACTCTTATTTTCCTCTGGCTACTTCATGGCTTACAACTACACACATATTTAACACCTTACAGCTTTGGAGGTCAAAGTCTAAAATCAAGGTGTAAACAGGGCTACGTTCCTTCTGGAGGCTTCAGGGAGAATCTGTTTCTTTGCCTTTTCCACCTTCTAGATGTTACCTGTACCCCTGGCTTGTGGCCCCTCTACCTATCTTTAAAGTACATCACCCCAATCTCTGGTTCTTCCTCTTTTCTGAGTTTGACATTCGTCCTTCTCTTTCATAAGAACCTTTTAAATTATAGTGTGTCTACCTTGTTAACCCAGGATAACTGCCCCATCTCAAGATCTTTAATCACAAAGATATGTACACAAATGTTGATAGCAAATTATGCATAGTAGCCAAAAGCTGGAAACAATGTGAACAGACATCAGCTGGTGAACGGATAAAGAAAATGTGGTATCCACCTAATACAATTCAACCACAAGAAGCAATGAACTACCAATACATGCTACAACATGGATGAACCTCAGAACATTATTCTGAAGAAGCAAGACATTAGAAATACACATTTCATGATTTCATTTATGTTAAATGTCCAGAAAATTAGAGAGACATATGAAGCAGATTGTTGGCTCCCTAAGGCTGCAGGTGGGAATGGAGATAAACTGCAAATGCGCACAACAAAACTTTTTGGGGAGACAGAAAGGTTCTAAAACTGGATTATGGCAATAGCTGCACAATTTATATATTCACTAAAAATCATTGAATTATACATTTGCAATGGATTAATACTGTGGGATGTAAATTATACCTGAAGAAAGGT